CATTCACAACTTCACATCACCTCCCTATCACATTTCACACCTTCACATCACCTCCCATCACATTCACAACTTCACATCACCTCCCATCACATTCACAACTTCACATCCCCCTCCTATCACATTCACACCTTCACATCACCTCCCCATCACATTCACACCTTCACATCACCTCCCCATCACATTCCCACCTGCACATCACCTCCCATCACATTCACAACTTCACATCACCTCCCTATCACATTCACACCTTCACATCACCTTCCCATCATCTTCACAAAAAGTTTTATGCTACCATCACAGCGAGTTTTACGGCTTATGGAACTCTGCTCAGCGTCTGCTGCCTCATTTTAACCTCAGCGTCAGCGGCGTCATTTTCACTACAGCGTCAGCTGTCTTTTTTATTTATCGTCAGCTGTGTCATTTTCAACATTATTATTAATTACTATTGTTATATATATATTGTTGTCGTTATTATTATTATTATTATTATTATTATTATTATTATTGTTATTAATAATATTATTATTATTATTATTATAGGTAGGCTCTAAACCCGTAGGGTTTAGCGCTTGAGAACTTCAGTTCACGTTCAGAACTGCAGGTCATGTACAATGTTACAGGTCACGTTCAGCACTGCAGGTCACATTCAGTGCTACAGGTCACATTCAGTGTTACAGGTCACGTTCAGCACTGCAGGTCACATTCAGTGCTACAGGTCACATTCAGTGTTACAGGTCACGTTCAGCGCTGCAGGTCACATTCAGTGTTACAGGTCACATTCAGTGTTACAGGTCACGTTCAGTGCTACAGGTCACTTTCAGCGCTGCTGTCTTCACCATCCTGCTTCTATTATTTATACATTCAAAGTACTGCACATTTGTAATCCCAGTAAAAGTCTACGGTCTTCGAGACCAGCATTTCATTTAGTTAAGTCAGTTAGGACAACAAATGGACGTTCAGTGTTAGTCCAGTAATTCACATTAAGACTATTTTAGATTATGTTTTGCTTACAAGTGAACTTAATTAAACTCTATTTCTCCGGTTATAAAAAGGTTAAGCTAGGTTTTTCGTATTTCTCTCTTCTTTTTTTTTTTTGGGGGGGGGGGCATTCTCAACGTACAATATCGTTTTCATAGCTCAAAGGCGCTAAAAATGTCAGGTGTGTTAAGAAGGAAAACCTGAGGAGATTTCTAAGTTTGCAAGACGGGAGGGTTAGGGTAGGTAGATGAATATAGTGGTGAATAATGAGTGAGATTGTGCTGCGTAAGCTGTTGTTGTCGTGTCGGTTGTATCAACACAGTACTACAGTGTCAGCACGATGCTAGAGTGTCAGCACTATGATACAGTGTCAACACGGTGCTACAGTGTCAGGGCACTATGATACAATATCGACACGGTACTACAGTGTCAGCACTGTGATACAATGTCGACACAATACTACAGTGCCAGGGCACTATGATACAGTGTCGACACGGTACTACAGTGTGAGCACTATTATACAGTGTGAACGTGACGACCCTGGGGTCGGGCGTGAGGAGTTGGTTGTAAAGTAAGGTGGTGTTGGGTAGAATGGGGAAGTAAGGTGGTCTTTGGGTTGAGTGGGGAAGTGAGGTAGTCTTCGAGGTAGAGTGGGGAAGTGAGGTGGCCTTTGGGTAGAGTGAGGAAGTGAGGTAGTCTTTGGGTAGAATGGGGAAGAGGCAGTGACATGGGCGATATGAAGCATCCATGGAAGTTTTGAGATGGATGAATGGTGTAAGGGTAACGGTGGTAGTTGAAGTGGAAGGGAAGGAATGAAGTGGTATGGAAGGTGAAGTGGGAGTGGAAGGTCGCCAAGCAAAGGTGGGAGGTTCTTGGATCGTGCTTGTGAGGGGAAATATAGAAGCAAGAGAAGGAATGCCTGAAGTCTGGATCGCCTTTACACTCTTGTAGTTAACTACATTATCCTTCTCTGTTTATTGTTTGATTTCCTTTTATTTCCAGCTCTGACTCTGCCCTCTGAGCCTCCGTCGTCTCTAGCCTTTATCTCAGTGTTTCATTAAGTTTTGTCTGTTTCCTTATCTCCACTCATGTGCACACTAAGAGTCCACTAATTTCTTTATTCTCTTGTAACCATCTCACACACTTCAGTTTTCCGTAAACAATCAGAGACCTAATGCCTTCCTCCTCACTTTTCTTATCCATCTATGTGGTTTTCAATCACTATTTACCTCGTTCTCCTCCAATCACTCTCCGTGCAGTCTGCTCTTCTCTCAGCAAGTTTGCAAAAGTGTTTTTACCTCTTTCTCTCCATCCTACCTCTCTATCTGATTTTCCCACTTCATTCTCTCTGCTTCTTCTCTTTTTTTTTTATCTTCTCCTCCGTTCATAGTATCTCTTCACTGAATACATCTAGTTTCACATCCAATTTCTCTTTGATTTTACTCCTTAAAGGAATCACCATAAAGTCAACAGTACTCGCTGTCACTTCCCATTTCCTATACCATTTAATTTTTTCTGGTCTTTATTTACATTTCCTATTATTTTCTTTAGTTCCATTTTTTCTCCCTTCCTTTATCCACTCGTTTTCCTATCGTTCTTGGTCCACGGTCTTTTTTTTCTACATTTCCCCTACCTTCACAGCCTTCACTCACAGTATTGCTGCCTTCCCCTCACCCCTGACAGGCGTTTTACACCTTGTCGCATTATTTGTGGCAGCCATACAATGTGTAAACACTTAAACACCTGGGTATTATAACCAGAGAATGATATTATTGCCTATTTCCTTAGTTTCATAATTCTGTTATGCTTCTTTGGGGTCCCTTGTACTCCACTTCTTTGTTATTCTCTTCACAAGAACCAATTCGCTCTCCCCTTAATCTTATTGGCTCTTATATCCCCCTCGGACGTACGTTTTGCCATTTTCTCTAATTATCACACATCGATATTATTCATGGCTTGTTCTTCCCTCTGCTTCTAGCCCTCCTCCCACTCCGGATGTTGTTGTTACTCTCGTACTTTAATTCGTCTCGCAACCCTTTCGTTTTTTGCGTCTGTGGCATTAATTTCCTGCTATTCCTTAAATAAACACGGAACTATTTTTCCATAAATCCTGTGTCTGCTTGCGAGCCACCGTTGTCTTGGTCGGTGCGTGTGTTGCCAGCCAGAGTTTGGCAGCAGCGTCTGTGAGGCTGCGCCTGACATTGTCTTTATGGCGAGAGAGCTAAGTTTTTCAGTGCGTGTGTATATATACGCTGAGAGATCTATGCTTCTCAGTGTATATATGTTAAGAGGTCCGTATATTTCATTGTATATAAGATGAGAGATGTACATCTCTCAAAGCATATATGTTGAGAAAAGTTGAGATTTATGTCTCTCAGTGTATGTATATTCAGAGTTTACTGTGGACTCTATTTTCGGTTGTTAGCATACAACTCACATACTGAGGTCCGTGGTTCGATTCCCGGTACGGGTGGAAACATTAGGCTTGTTTCCTTGAGACACCTGCTGTCCCTGTTCACCTAGCAGTATGTAGTACGGTACTTGGGTGTTAGCCGACTGTTGTGGGTCGCCAGATATGCTCTGTATAACCAGGGGCTCTCTATATAGTATGTCATTGATGTCAGTTAGGTCTGTATAAGTCGTGTCACGTACTTTTAGAAATAAAGATTATTATTGTATATATATATTATATATATATATATATTATATATATATATATATATATATATATATATATATATATATATATATATATATATATATATATTACAATCCAGGTTTCCAAATGGCCTGTTATCCTGGGTGTAAAGGGAGCAAAAAAAACACAGCAGAAAACTTTTGACTTATATTATCCTTCACCAATTTAGAACAGAAGTATGTACACTATATACACTATGTACAGCAATAGGTATTAGTGCACTCCACGGTAAGCAAGGCAGAATAGAAGCCACTAGAGAGCAGACCGTGCTTCAACCAGCTCTAGAATGGGAATGACAAGGGCAGACAGGAGAGTGGTACCCACATAACCTCTGCGATTGCCAAAACCAACTTCTCATTGGCTGGAGCCTGGGTACTGGTTGAACGACGGGGCCCCATCGTCAACCCTCAGTCCCCTGGTTCGCTGGTTGGAGGAGATAGCCTGTAAATGATGGTGTGTACATGTGCCGAATAAAGGTTACGTAATCTTTGCATGCCACACACACACACACACACACACACACCACATCACACATAAAACATACATAACTAACACATATCTAAATAACACAACACACACATAATCAACATATATATATATATATTAATACATATATGTACGTATGTATTAATATTAAAGACACAAGCTAATGACCTTTAGTTCCTGAGACATCTAAACCAGGATGACCAATGTTGGTAGCAGTGTCCTCTAACTTATTCTAATTTCTACCAAGTCATCTCTAGCTGTTAATAAGCGGATGTAGTTATAATACATACGTGTAGTATAATGGGAACATTTTTTTAGCTACGTTTCGGCCACATATTGCGTTTTATCAAGTCACGAAGAAATAATCTTAGACAGGAAGGCTGAGTGTAGGTCATGCAGTGGTGTGAGATCAGTGGTGTGTAGGTCATGCAGTGGTGTGAGATCAGTGGTGTGAGATCAGTGGTGTGTAGGTCATGCAGTGGTGTGAGATCAGTGGTGTTTAGGTCATGCAGTGGTGTGAGATCAGTGGTGTGTAGGTCATGCAGTGATTTGAGATCAGCAGTGCATAGATCAAGCAGCGGTGTAAGATCATTGGTGTGTAGGTCATGCAGTGGTGTGAGATCATTGATGTGTAGGTCATGCAGTGGTGTATAGATCATGCAGCGGTGTGAGATCAGTGGTGTGTACGTCATGCAGTGGTGTGAGATCAGTGATGTGTACGTCATGCAATGGTGTGAGATCAGTGGTGTCGAGGTCATGCAGTGGTGTGAGACCACAGCGCCACTGCAACGGTAATCGTCTTAACACAGCTGTTGCTATGTACTAAGACGATCCAGAAATGTCTTGGCAAGACGCTGAGGAAGAGAAAGAAAACAGAAAAAGACGGGAGACTCCTAAAATAAACTCTCATAAGCATTCCAGTATTTTGAGCCATAACAATGGTTTCTATGACACACATGAGCGTCTTGCCAAGAGAAGGTTATAACACCTTCCCACACAGTAACAGCCTTTTTTCAGAGGGTAATAAATAACTTAGCGACAACGTTTTTTGTTTGACTTTTGTTTATGAAGGAGAGGTAATTAAGGTTTTGTTTATGAGACGGGTGGGAGGTAATTAGGTTTTATTCATGGGGAAAAAAGAGCGAAAACTTCTTGGTGAGGAGCTTATAGTTAGCCTCAAGGCCCTTTTCCCCAATTGTTGTGTCTATAAGGACAGCGTTAGGACAGCGGAAATCACTCACTCACACACACAGACACACACACACACACACACACACACACACACACACACACACACACACACACACACACACACACACACACACACACACAGACACACACACACATGATAACGACATATAAAATACTGCGCGGAATAGACAAGGTGGACAAAGACGGGATGTTCCAGAGAAGGGACACAGACACAAGAGGTCACAATTGGAAGTTGAAGACTCAGATGAATCAAAGGGATGTTAGGAAGTATTTCTTCAGTCATAGAGTAGTCAGGCCGTGGAATAGCCTAGAAAGTGACGTAGTGGAGGCGGGAACCATACATAGTTTTAAGGCTAGGTATGATAGAGCTCATGGGGCAGGGAGAGAGAGGACCTAGTAGCAATCAGCGAAGAGGCGGGGCCAGGAGCTGTGACTCGACCCCTGCAACCACAAATAGGTGAGTACAAATAGGTGAGTACACACACACACACACACACACTCACACACACTCACACACACACACACCCTACACACCCATTTTACACCAGACTCAGAGTCAGCTTCTTCCCACAGTACCGCCAGAGAGCGTGAGTGTGGTGGTGTGGCGTGGTGACAGTCTCCAGGGCACAGTCAGCAGCGTCCTGGGACCCTTCGTGGACGCTACCCGGGATACCCACCAGGGCACACACACTACCATCTTGGAGGAGTACCAAGGTAGCCAGCAGGTCACGTCTAGCAGCGCCCTGGGACCCTTCCTTGAAGGAGAAGTGGCAAAACTTACCTGCGTGGCCCATGGAGGTAAGACGTAGAATTTCTTACTAAAGATAAAAATGTGATAAAGACCTGTTAAGATCATATGGTAGAACTGAAAAGCTGTGTCGAGATAAAATTAATGTTTTTCACGTCTATGACTTGGTGTTTCCATTCAGCCATAATGTCTCTTTTCAAGTCCTACTCAAGCTATTTAAAAGAATTAGGGATTAGAGCTTGGTTAGTGAGCCCTAGATGGGCTGGGCGATTTATTTAATTACTTTTAGCAGAGGTGATGTCAGTTTCTCTGACTACATGTGTACCGGGGAGTGTCAGAGTCACTGATAACAGTGAGGTTGCAACCATGACTAGCCAGCTGGCCAATACGGTGTAGGAGTCACTGCTAACAGTGACGCTCAGACCATCACCCGTTGATCCATACCTAAAAGGGTTTAAAGACTATCGACTACACGAGGATTATTAAGGCTACGTTCCACCTGCTTATCACCAGTCAAGAAAAGTTTAATCCCTAAAATAGGGATTAAGTTGAACTCTCAGTGTGTATTATATACCGAGACACACACCTCTCGAAGTATATTTCCTCAGATACCTAAGTCGTTTACCAAACTTTTCTCTTTAAATGTTTCACATTCTTCTTGTTTTATTCGTCAAGAAACATGTATATCATTAACACATGGATCATAACACACGGGTCTTAATACACGGGTGTTAACATACAGATGTTAACACACGGGTCTTAACACACGGGTGTTAACATGCAGATGTTAACACACGGGTCTTAACACACGGGTGTTAACTGCAGTTTTTTAAGACACGGGTCTTAAAACACGGGTGTTAACATACAGATGTTAACACACGGGTCTTAACACACGGGTGTTAACATGCAGATGTTAAGACACGGGTCTTAAAACACGGGTGTTAACATACAGATGTTAACACACGGGTCTTAACACACGGATCATAATCATATACTGTAGATGACCGGTAAACATGATTTTATTTTATTTTGATACTGCTGAGTGGTAGCACGGCTCTATTTATTCATATAAAATTGCATTTTACTGTCATCTAATTTAATTTTTAGAAACATAAATTCCCAAAATGCATGAAATACGCTACTGTATATATATATATTTATATATAATATAAAATATATATATATATATATATAGTATATATATATATATATATATATATATATATATATATATATATGTACCGCCTCTATGGCTGGAATGGGGACCCTCATCCTCGGAGAAGACAATAAATGTACCTCAGGGAAAACTCAAGGTTTTCCCCGGAGCTGTTTGAATATTTTCTTCTCCTACCACCTCCTATATTAGATAATCTATGTGAACATTTATTAATAAACAGAATACATTTACAGAAAAACATAAACATGAATACAATGGCACAATGTATCAAAGATCATGAATTTTCTCCAGCTCCTCCGAGGGTGGATGCGAGCCAAGTATGCAGCAAGCATTTCCCCTCTGGATGGGTACGCTGAGGCGCTGGAACATGAAAGTGGCTGCCCTTGGGTCCTTGGTGGTGTCGATGAATCTGGAACCCAATTTTTTAAGGAAACGTGTGACATTTTTTCCCCATGATCCCAAGGTCTCTGATCCCACTGGGACAAATTGATACTGTTGGCTTATGTCCCTGTACTTGCTGATCTTGTACTCCTCCCTGTGGTCAGCAGCTCCTCCCTGTCGCCCCACACTGTGATGGATGTAGGTGTCAGCCAGTGTGGACACACAGGTATAGTCCCAAGCTAAGATCTTGCCATTCTTCCAAGGATAGATGGTAATCCCGTCGGGGCGGTTTGCTGGGTTGTGGGTATTGTTGGCTGCTAGTGATCGGGGCTCCCTCTCGGCTGGGCATCCAGCTGTAGCAAGGGTTGTCTTAATGATGTCGTTGACCTCAATGTGTCTTGCATGCCAGCCCTTGGTTTTGGAACAGTTAAGACCATGTAGACCATATTGGTCTGCTTGCACTTCGCAGCAAATACACGTATATTCTGTGTGAATTGGGGCAGCAAGGCGCAGAGCCACTGCAATACGGAGGGTCTAGGGTCGAGTAGTCGCGTTCCATTGCCGATATGGGAACTGTTTGTAGGATATATATATTATATATATATTATATATATATATATATATATATATATATTATTATATATATATATTATTATATATATATTATATATATATATATATATATATGAAGGTAGTAGGTTGGTAGACAGCAACCACCCAGGGAAGTACTACCGTCCTGCCAGATGACTGTGAAACAAAAACCTGTAACTGTTTTGCATGATGGTAGGATTGCTGGTTTCTTTTTTCTGTCTCATAAACACGCTAAGATAACAGGGATATCTTGCTACTCCTACTTACACTTTGGTCACACTTCACAGACACGCACATGCTTATATATATATACATACATCTAGGTTTTTCTCCTTTTTCTAAATAGCTCTTGTTCTTTTTTTATTTCTTCTTTGTCCATGGGAAGTGGAAAAGAATCTTTCTCCGTAAGCCATGGTGTCGTATGAGGCGACTAAAATGCCGGGAGCAATGGGCTGGTAACCCTTCTCCTGTATACAATTACTAAAAAAGAGAAGAAGAAAAACTTTATAAAACTGGGTTGCTTAAATGTGCGTGGATGTAGTGCGGATGACAAGAAACAGATGATTGCTGATGTTATGAATGAAAAGAAGTTGGATTGTCCTGGCCCTAAGCGAAACAAAGCTGAAGGGGGTAGGAGAGTTTCAGTGGGGGGAAATAAATGGGATTAAATCTGGAGTATCTGAGAGAGTTAGAGCAAAGGAAGGGGTAGCAGTAATGTTAAATGATCAGTTATGAAGGAGAAAAGAGAATATGAATGTGTAAATTCAAGAATTTATGTGGATTAAAGTAAAGGTTGGATGCGAGAAGTGGGTCATAATAAGCGTGTATGCACCTGGAGAAGAGAGGAATGCAGAGGAGAGAGAGAGATTTTGGGAGATGTTAAGTGAATGTATAGGAGCCTTTGAACCAAGTGAGAGAGATAATTGTGGTAGGGGGACTTGAATGCTAAAGTAGGAGAAAACTTTTAGAGAGGGTGTGGTAGGTAAGTTTGGGGTGCCAGGTGTAAATGATAATGGGAGCCCTTTGATTGAACTTGTATAGAAAGGGGTTTAGTTATAGGTAATACATATTTTAAGAAAAAGAGGATAAATAAGTATACACGATATGATGTAGGGCGAAATGACAGTAGTTTGTTGGTTATGTATTGGTAGATAAAAGACTGTTGAGTAGACTTCAGGATGTACATGTTTATAGAGGGGCCACAGATATATCAGATCACTTTCTAGTTGTAGACTACACTGAGAGTAAAAGGTAGATGGGATACAAGGAGAATAGAAGCATCAGGGAAGAGAGAGGTGAAGGTTTATAAACTAAAAGAGGAGGCAGTTAGGGTAAGATATAACAGCTATTGGAGGATAGATGGGCTAATGAGAGCATAGGCAATGGGGTCGAAGAGGTATGGGGTAGGTTTAAAAATGTAGTGTTAGAGTGTTCAGCAGAAGTTTGTGGTTACAGGAAAGTGGGTGCAGGAGGGAAGAGGAGTGATTGGTGGAATGATGATGTAAGAGAGTAGTAAGGGAGAAAAAGTTAGCATATGAGAAGTTTTTACAAAGTAGAAGTGATGCAAGGAGGGAAGAGTATATGGAGAAAAAAGAGAGAGTTAAGAGAGTGGTGAAGCAATGTAAAAAGAGAGCAAATGAGAGAGTGGGTGAGATGTTATCAACAAATTTTGTTGAAAATAAGAAAAGTTTTGGAGTGAGATTAACAAGTTAAGAAAGCCTAGAGAACAAATGGATTTGTCAGTTAAAAATAGGAGAGGAGAGTTATTAAATGGAGAGGTAGAGGTATTGGGAGATGGAAGGAATATTTTGAGGAATTGTTAAATGTTGATGAAGATAGGGAAGCTGTGATTTCGTGTATAGGGCAAGGAGGAATAACATCTTGTAGGAGTGAGGAAGAGCAGTTGTGAGTGTGGGGGAAGTTCGTGAGGCAGTAGGGTAAAATGAAAGGGGGTAAGGCAGCGGGATTGATGGGATAAAGATAGAAATGTTAAAAGCAGGTGGGGATATAGTTTTGGAGTGGTTGGTGCAATTATTTAATAAATGTATGGAAGAGGGTAAGGTACCTAGGGATTGGCAGAGAGCATGCATGTTCCTTTGTATAAAGGCAAAGGGGATAAAAGAGAGTGCAAAAATTATAGGGGGATAAGTCTGTTGAGTGTACTGGTAAAGTGTATGGTTAGAGTTATAATTGAAAGAATTAAGAGTAAGACGGAGAATAGGATAGCAGATGAACAAGGAGGCTTTAGGAAAGGTAGGGGGTGTGTGGACCAGGTGTTTACGTGAAACATATAAGTGAACAGTATTTAGATAAGGCTAAGAGGTCTTTGTGGCATTTATGGATTTGGGAAAAGGCGTTTGACAGGGTGGATAGGGGGGCAATGTGGCAGATGTTGCAAGTGTTATGGTGTAGGAGGTAGGTTACTGAAAGCAGTGAAGAGTTTTTACGAGGATAGTGAGGCTCAAGTTAGAGTATGTAGGAAAGAGGGAAATTTTTTCCCAGTAAAAGTAGGCCTTAGACAAGGATGTGTGATGTCACGTGGTTGTTTAATATATTTATAGATGGGGTTGTAAGAGAAGTAAATGCGAGGGTCTTGGCAAGAGGCGGGAGTTTAAAGATTAAAGAATCACACACAAGTGGGAGTTGTCACAGCTGCTCTTTGCCGATGACACTGTGTCTTGGAGATTCTGAAGAGAAGTTGCAGAGATTGGTGGATGAATTTGGTTAGGGTGTGCAAAAGAAGAAAATTAAAGGTGGAATACAGGAAAGAGTAAGGTTATGAGGATAACAAAAAAATTAGGTGATGAAGATTGAATATCAGATTGGAGGGAGTGAGTATGGATGAGGTGAACGTATTCAGATATTTGGAGTGGAGTGTCAGCGGATGGGTCTATGAAAGAT